GTTTTTCGAGACAGGGTTTCTCTGCGTAGTTTTGCGCCTTTCCTAGAGCTCACTTGGTAGCCCAGGCTGGCCTCGAACTCACAAGAGATCCGCCTGGCTCTGCCTCCCGAGTGCTGGGATTAAAGGCGTGCGCCACCACCGCCCGGCTTTAGCTGAGTTTTTTATGTTATCATCTGATGAGTAAAAAATAAGTTTAAAATGCACATATGCTCTATGTCAATGGCAGAGTGGGTTGTTGTAATTGTTGGCCTGGATGACAAATTTTGTTCTTTAGTTTAGTATCTTACAAACACATGTGACTAGTGGAGTGACAGGCCCCCAAACCATTGGGAAGCAGTCGAGTTATTGTACCTTGCGTCTTAGCCTTCTGTAGCTTGCTATAGTCAATACTCCACTAGCAAAGTGGACCCACACCTGTTTTTGATATACTTTTTTCTTTTTCCGTGCTCACAAAAGTTGTCGAAAGCATGAGGGATGTTATGCATGCTAGCTGAGAATTAAAAACAGCTGTCCTCAACTATATATCATGCCATATAAAATGGAAGTAAAGAATAGCAGTGAGAGAGGAGAGGAGAGAAGCCTCATCCATTTTGGGTGAGGGTGAAGGTTAGTGGAGTAGGTGAAGCATGCAGGAGAAAAGGAATGCTAGGGACCTTGTGACCCAGTAGTATGTTAATTAAGGGGTCAGGGGAGTGAGACCTAGAAGGGAGGTCAAGTAGGAGAGTCTGGACAAAGGTATATAGCTGTGTCAGTTGTCTAGTGCCCTGTATATGAAGCCGCCCTGACTTACAAGAGTAGTAAGCTTACTGTTTGTGCTTGGTTGTTTAGAGATACGGTCTAGCTATGTAGTGCAGGTTAGTCTTGAACTCATAATCCTCTCGCTCTGTCTCCTATTCCAGTGCTGGAATTACAAGCATGAGCAAACACACTAGAATGGCGGAAAGCGTTCATGACTTCACAGTTCCTGTGAGTGAGGAATTAGGAATAGCTTAGTTGGTTCTGCTTCAGAGTCTCTCTGGGCTGAAATGTCCAAAAAAGTGGTAGCCATTGGACAGGTCATCGGAGGAATGATGAATGGCTGTGGACGCTGGCAAGAGGCCGATGAGCCTCACCTCCTATAGTGCCCAGTGTGCCTGTGTGACGAGCACTGTGATGTAGCAGCTAACTTTTCTCAACACTGCAAACCCAGGTGGAAGCTGAAGTGAACAGGTCATTAGAAGGTGGCCATGTATCATAGCGTCTGCCACATTTTATTCACTAGAACTGAGTCACTAAGTGTAGCCCAAGTCCAAAGGAGTGAACTAGGTTATATATAAAGAAAGGAGTATGAAAAGTTTCTAGATGCATTTAAACAACACCTTTTAGCCTTCTGAGTTGAACACTTCTTCATCTTGCCCAGGAAAATGGACCCGCACAGAGAGCTAAATCGTCGTGGAACTTGCTGAGGGGATTTCCTTTTACTCGAGGATCATTATTTTCCATTGATACATTGTTTCCCTTCTAGTTTAATAGCTGTCTGTGATTGGTAGCAGAGTTTCTTCCGATTGTTGTTGTAGCAAACATATAATCTTTCTAGTGAGGAGGAGCTAAGGGCTCAAGAAGCCTCCCTTTACATACCCTGTGGTTGTGGGCTCAAGAAGCCTTTCTTTACAGACCCTGTGGTTGCCTATATCCTTGCTCTAAACCATCACTGTTTGTTATGGAGGATGCTGAGCTGCTGGGGGCAAGGGGACCACCATCCACGTAGGGAAATAAAGACATTTTGGGCCTGACAAATGCCACTATATGGTCCTTGGAAATACCTGCCTAGGATCTCATCCCTAGGATGGTTCCGTTTATAAATCTTCCTCAGATGTATTATCTTGGTTACAAATAAGGAGCTTTGTCAATTAAAAATAACTGCATCATATATATATATATGTATATGTATATGTATATATATATATATATATATATATATATAGTTTACATTTCTCAACAAAAGTCAGCGCTGTTGTAGGAGACTCAAACTGGCTAAATGTTTAAGTAGGTCATTGTGAGATCTCTGTCCTTTAGGTTTAAATGTGTGCTAGGCCTTGCTTCCTGGATTGCATTTGAAAAAAACTTTAACAACAATGAAATTACATTTGGTCAGAAAGTATATATCATGTTCTTTCTCAAACTTAGTTACTTCTCATGGTTTGCTTTGATGTGGATGATGTGGAATTTTACCTCAATTGTCTGGACATCTATTTCAAGTAATGAAAACTTTTCTGAATCTGTGCTGTGCCTCGGCTGCCATTATGTGCACATTTATACCTGTTCTCTTTGTCTTTGTTCTTAAAATAAATAAATATACACATATACAGGATTCCCAACACTTGAATTTTCTGACATCAGAACAAGCTCTGGCTGATTTTGCAGAGTTAATCAGACACTTGAAAGGAACAATCCCCGGAGCTGAAGGTCAACCTGTCATTGCCATCGGGGGCTCTTATGGTGGCATGCTTGCAGCCTGGTTCAGGATGAAATATCCTCACATAGTAGTTGGGTAAGTGCATTTATGCTTGACACAGTTAACAATTTTGGGTAAAGCATGCTCCATTCTGAGTTATATGGACATTTTTGGTTTCTCTCTCACAAACAATGGTATTATGAGTTTGGTTCCTAGCACCCATGTCAGGTGCCTGTAATTCCAATTCCAGGTGATCTGACCTTTTTTCTAACCTCCACAGGGACTTGTACACAGGTGACATACATACACACACACACACACACATACACACCAAACACATTCATGTGCACACACATATTTAAAAACACAAAGCAAGCAAACAAAAAACGAGTGGATGATTGTATTTCTCTTTCTCCTCTTACTTCCTTTATCATTCAGAGCTCTTGCAGCTTCTGCCCCTATCTGGCAGTTTGAGGATCTGACTCCCTGTGGTATGTTTATGAAGATTGTAACTGAAGATTTTAGGAAAAGTGGTCCACATTGTTCTGAGAGTATCCATGGATCCTGGAATGCCATTAACAGACTCTCAAGAACAGGTAAGCTTTCACAAAGAGAATCAATTGCAGTTTGTTTTTCTTTAACCTTTAACTTACTAAAAATCAATATTGCCACCAGGTAGTGGGGGCACAAGCCTTTAATCTCAGCACTTGGGAGGCAGAGGCAGGCAGATCTCTGTGAGTTCGAGGCCAGCCTGGGCTACCAAGTGAGCTCCAGGAAAGGCGCAAAGCTACGCAGAGAAACCCTGTCTGGAAAAAACAAAAACAAAAACAAACAAACAAAAAAAAAGAAGTAAGTGCTTGGTATCAGTAGTATCCAGATCCAGAAAAGACAAAGCCAGTGCCTCATAAAGCCCTGCTGCTCTCCTTAGCACTTCCTCACGTCTACACAGCAATCTCACTTTGAACCGAAGGCCCATTTTCTGATTCTTGCATCTTAGTAATGAGAGTTGCATAGTATGTTGTTTGCTGTCTTGTGCTCAATAGTCTTAATTCAATGGTTCTCAACCTGTGGGTCGTGACCCTTTTGGTGATCACATATCAGATGTCCTGCACATCAGTTATTTACATTATGACTCATACTGGTAACAAAATTACAGTTATGAAGTAGCAACAAAATAATTTAATGGTTGAGGGTCACTGCAATCTGAGGAACTGTATTAAAAGGTCATAGCATCAGGAAGGTTGAAACCGCTGTTCTAATTATTAAGCGCATCTATTTGTTTAATTTAATTATAGTCTAATGCATTCTTTTTAGTATTCTTATTTATTTTAATAGTATCTTAAGCCAGGGAATAATGTTAATTTTGGTAAATTCTATGGGTTTATCTAGTTGCCCTAAAATATTTTGTTGAGTGTCAGAAAAATTCTTGGAAAAGTCATGTAGAAACCTGTGTTTTCTGTAAAAATAAGTAAAGAATAAATGATTGGTTGATCTGTAGTGTCCTTCTATCTTCAGAGAGTGGTCTCAATTGGCTCACAGAAACCCTTCACCTATGCAGTCCCTTGACTTCTGGGGATATCCCAAATTTAAAAGAGTGGATGGCTGAGACCTGGGTGAACCTGGCCATGGTGGACTACCCTTATGAAGCCAACTTTTTACAGCCCTTGCCTGCTTGGCCTATCAAGGTAACAGAAAAGAATCTTCTATTTTTTTTATAAAATATTTTTCTCTTTTTTTTGATATGCGTTCTCTGACTTTCAACATCAGGAAAAAAATCTCAATTACGTATGGACTTTGTAAAGTTAATGATTGTGGGCTGGAATCCTGGGTTCTACAGCTCTCTGATTATGTGACCTTAGGCATGTTAGCTATATCTTCTCACCTCAGTTTTCTCATTTGAGAACTGGAAATAAATCTCATCAGTTACAGCATTATAGGAATAAGAAGTAAGACCAATAGTTGGTGCTAATGGAATAACTACTGTGTGCCAAATTCTGGGCTGTACTTTGCATATGTAATATATCCCATCTTTGTGATATATGTATCATGCCTAGATCCATGTAATACATTAACTTAGCTGAATAAGTGGTAGATTTTGCCCTTGTGCTTTGATTTGGTGAGCTGTTAAAGGCATTCTAAATGTAAAATTTAGAGTATACTGAAAGTAGAGAGTAAGGGAAGAAGGAAGCATGGTGGCAAAAAGTGACAGCAACTAAGGAAAAGAAAAAATATTGTCCAATAGTGAAAAAAAAGTAGATAAATATAAGAAGGGAATAACAAAAACTGTAAAAATACAGTGAAGTAATAATTGCACTGAAAATGAACAAAAGGAAAACCACAAAGATAAACACAACAACAGAATAAAAGAGAGAATGCAAACAAAAAACAATTAGAAAAACAGATGAAATATTGGATGTTATGTGGTGAGATCCTGTCTTAAAAAAAAAAGTAATAACGCAGTGTGTGGTGGCCATGTTTGTAATCCCATTGTCGAGGAAATGGAGACAGGTGACCCCCTGTGCTTGATGGCAAGCCAATCGGTCCTGCTTGATGAGTCCCAGGCAATGAAACAAGGTGGATAACAGCAAAGGAAATGACACCCAAGGTTGCCCTTTGACCTACACTTACACATGTATGCCCACATGCATGCACAAATACGTGCACAAATGAAATTTTCAAACATTTTGCATTCTTATGAAAATATAGTCCTTCACTCAGCAAATATTTAGCTATTAAGAGACTTTGCTAAGCACTGAGGGAGACATTCTGGAATCAGAGGCGAGCATGACAGTGTTATAGAGGCTGGGATAAAAACAGGTACAGAGTGCAGTGAAGCACAGGGAGGGGAGGGGTCTAGCTCTTCCAGGCTGGGAAGCACATGCAGGGATAACCTCAGAAAGGAGGGGGTAGTCCCGGTGGGTGTTGGAAAGGATGAATTGGCCAGCCATGGGTAGATTTAATGAGTGGGAAAAGAGATGTGTGGAAAGAGGGAACGCACGTGGTGTGGTGGAGAATGACTTTACTGGACACTGGAGCAAAGGCAGTGAAGAAGGAGCTAGAAGAGATGGGGAGCACTTTGCATGCTGTGCATTTGCATACCATCCAAATGACCGATTTATTTCGCTACCCTGTGGAAAATGTTAAAGTTTTTTTTTTTTTCCCTTGAGAGGGGGAGTTATTCTTCAGAGGTAGAAATTGTTAAGAGATGTATTAAGATGTTTATCAATGTTTTATGACAAAATTAAGATACTAGTTCTTCTTTGTTATTAAACAATTTTCTATTCATATCTGACTCTTCCCATGTTTTCCTCCTAGGTAGTGTGCCAGTATTTGGAAAATTCTAATGTATCTGATACAGTGCTCCTGCAGAATATTTTCCAGGCTCTGAATATATATTATAATTATTCAGGCCAAGCAAAATGCCTGAATATCTCACAAACAGCTACTAGCAGACTAGGCTCCATGGGCTGGAGCTATCAGGTGAGCATGCATGACTTCCCCAATCCTTTGCTTTTTGCTGGTACTATTGCATGGAATGCCATTGCTAACTGGAGGTCCAGCCTCCAGGCAGCACTAGGGTATGCAAAAATATCCACGAATGCAGCAAGGGCTAAACCTTTTCTATCTGAGGGGTAAATGAGAAAGCACTCACTTTCTGATGGTAACTTTCTCTTTTACTTCATCTTAAAAAATCTCTCTGAAAGTCTGTCTCCACACAGCTACATCTCTTTACATACAGCTATATATCTCTCTTTACACATAAACATCTCAAAATCTTTCTGAAAATTTCTTCATCTCCATATAGCTATGTTCTTGACATACAGCTATATATCTCTCTTTATATAATACATCTCTCTTCTGCACACCATATATACAGTTACATCTCCTTTTTATATAGCTCCATATCTCTCTTCTACACACATTTCTTCTCTCTACTCTGTTACATTCCTTCATATATTACTGCATCATTCATTCACTCTTTATTCATTCACTCTCTCACTCATTCACTCTCTCACCTTTTTCTTCACATTCAGCTACACCTCTCTTTCAGCACATACACATACACACACCTCACTCTCATACTCACTACCCTCTAACAGCCAGATTCTGGGCAATTATATGTTACATTTTCAGGGTTCGACCCATTCTCATAACACATAAGTCACCCAGTTTTTCTCAGGCTAGGGAGGTCACAATGACCAGCCAGTGAGTGAGTAACACTTGGCTGTGCATGTAGCTCTTTCCCAGACAGAAAGTGCCATTGAAATTTAGGACTTAACAATAACAGTTAGTTGGCTGAACCTTGGGGTTGGGAGTATGTGCAGAAAGTCCATTACTGAAGAGGGTAATATCTACCAAAGTTGCTTCAAGTCTGACTTTGATTCAGCAATCCAGCAAACACCTGGGGATTTGTCCTATGTATTCCTCTCCAGAGGCAGCCAGTTTGCTTTGAATTTGTTTTGAAGTCTAAAATTGGCTTTCCTTGTGACTGAGAATACTGTTACTTTCCTATGTCAGTTATGAAAAATATTCTGGTATTATTTCTATTCATCAGAATTATACAGCTTAAGCAGAAATCATATTCCTGACCATCCACACCTATGTGTACCCAAAGATGGAATATTTTCTTGAGATAAACGCACAGGCAGTAGGAAAAATACCCAAAGCAATCCTTAAGGAAAAAATGTAGTGGCACATGAGAGAAATTACAGACAGGAGCAACTGGTCATTTACAGTCAGTGACTCACGGCCTTGCCAAGTGGGGCTCCCCATCAGAGAGTTATTTGTCCGGTGGTTCGACCTGTTGAATACTAGTTGTCACCTGCTGTATACTCCCACAGCCTCTGGTAAAGCCATTGCTACTAACAACTCTCAGCATAATAATCTACCACTCATTTTACTACCTAACTCGCAACCACGTCTGGCCACTATGAAATTGCAGCATGACCTTCTCCCTCCTTCTCCTTCCTTTTTTCCTTCCTTCTTTCCTTCCTTCCATCATCAGCAAATATATAATGAATGATCATTGATCACAATCTCTTATGTTTCAAATATACAAAAATAAATAATTTCTATGATTTTACCGTAAAATGCAGCCTGATGAGAAAGACAGATAAATTAACACTGTAATAGACCTAGACAAGTCCTGGAAAGGAGGCACTGTGTGGCTGTATGAAAGACTCTGAGTCTCCATTCTGTCACCTGCACAGTAAGACTACCAGGGTTGTCCTGAGGGTTAACTATGATCAAAGTCATGAAAGAAGGCTCTTTGCAGAAGAAACAAAGAAAGGGAGGAAGGAAGGAAGGGAGGAAGGAAGAAGAAGAAAGAAAACAGTACTAACTTCTGTGAATTCTCAGCCATGTCTTTCTATGAGAAATAAGGGGTTGTGTGGCAGGGAAGTTGGGGGTGGGGTGGGGGCGGGGGCTTGATTGCAAGTTCATACCCTAGTTCTATGACGTAGTAGCTGAACACATTTGCATCATTTATTCTCATTTCACCACGTTTTCCCTTTGTTTCCTTTCTTTTCAGTCCTGCACAGAAATGGTCATGCCTTTTTGTACCAATGGTGTCGATGACATGTTTGAACCTTATCTGTGGGACCTGGAGAAATTTTCCAATGAATGCTTTCAGCAGTGGGGTGTGAAACCACAGCCTCACTGGATAACTACCTTGTATGGTGGCAAAAACATCAGTTCACACACGAACATCATTTTCAGGTGAGCTTGTTGGCTGATGGAGACACTTGCAGAATGGCTGAGAAAATACAACTAGGAAAATGCTAGGTAATAAAGTAACATAGAATACAATAGTGATGCCATTCCACTTTGCTGCTGAGCACCAGACACAGATAGGTATTCAGTAAGCATTTGGTGAGTAGCTGAGGACTTGATAAATAGTAGCTGTTACAGTCCTGCTTTGGCAATTCTTTTCAGTGCACGGTGGTCTTCTTGGGCAGGTTTGTATTTTCTAAAACTCATAGATTATTTCTCCAGTGATGATTCTCAGTTATTTAAGTATAAATTCAGAAGGGACCCCATGAAGAACTGGTTAACTAACATCATTTCCCATGCAAATTAACTATTGCCAGTGATTAAGTGAGGCTGGGGATTTTACCCAGGTATCTAGAGTCCCCCAGGAAAACAGTATATAGATTTAGATTTTCCATGACTGGTGTAGCTTTCATGTGTCTGAACTGAGAAATTCAAGTCCATGTGCAGGCTGGGTCTCTCAGCAACTCCAAACACTGTTGCTAAGTCACCAGGTGCTTCAGATGACCTTTAAATCAGATGCAGTTTGCTCCTCATGTGGCTGCAGGGACTTCTTTCTTTTGCAAATACTGGAGCCTGTCTGGATTGAGCTTATTAATTGGAAAATAAAAAAAGGAGAAATTTGTATACTTAAGAGAATGCATCTTCTGTGTGGTTTATGTGAACATTTGTCCTAAAGAGGAGTATTATGACTTGTGTTGGGCATGGGAGTTTTCCTCTTTGCTTTATTTGTAGTCAAACAAACAAAAGTATATACTTAGAGTAATTGTTTCCCTAGAATTCTACATTAACTTGCAATTAAAATACTACTTTTTTTAAAAAAGAAGTCTAAGTATATAATAATAAGACAGGAAATTTAAAATCGTATTTCAAATACAGATATAGTCAATATACCTTAATATTTATTTTGTACATTTGCCTAAAAAGCATTGGTTGATGGGGTTGAGAGAGAGTTCAATGTGGAAAATATTTCCTGTACAAGTGAGAGGATCTGAATTCAGATCCTTAGCACTACATAAAACTGGGCATAGTGTTTTATGCATGCCCATTACCCTAGTTGTGGTGGGTGGGTTGGTATAGGACACATCTCTGGTTAGTCAGTCTAGCCAAAATAGGGAGCTTCAGGTTCAATGAGAGAGCCTGTCTCAAAAGAGTAAGGAGAGGTACAGAAGAAGACACCTAACATTGACTTCTGGCCTCTGCACACACAGGCTCATGCTCCCCCCCACACACATGTTACACACATGCACTTACCACAACACTCATATACACATATTGATTGAATTAATGCTTTGACTAAATTTCTGAGAAATACTTCACGTCTATTTTTATTATTATTTTATCCCTTGGTGACATTAATGTTTCTCATCCTTGTATAACACAATAGTAATTATAACAATTTGGTGTTTGTAGTGTTTTATACTTGGTGCTATGTGTAGTATATATAGTTTGTGCCACATATATGACTTAGTTTGGGCCTCTCAATTTTTGTAAATTTTTTTTCCTTTTCTATAGTACACATGAGAATTGAGGTTCTCATGAAAATTATGCAGGTAGTGAGGATATGAAACTTGTATTTGCTGACTTGGTTCATTGTTCTTCTCACTGCTACTCACAGCTAAAGGCATGCGATTGCACCAACGTGCAATTGCTCACACGCAAGGGCATAAGGGTAGGGTAGAGGAGGTAAGTATGGGATGAGATTAAAGAAAACACTAAAGACTTTTCAAAAAAGCTATGTGGAAACTTACTACTATAAAAGTGCACACACACACACACACACACATACACACACACACACACACAATAATTAAGAGTTTCCCTGTATTTGGGCAACAATGCCCCCGTTAGACATCAAAGTCTAAATAATTAATAAAAAGCCCAGTGCCAGGAATCAGTTAATTATTTTGGAGTTGTTGGCGAGGTCCTACAGACCCCCAAACATTAACAGGCTATTGCCATCGCTCTTGGTTACCCTCCAGAACTTGATGGTAAGATACCACATACTTGAGTAATAGAACATGGCAAAATTAAGCTGTATGGACCTGGAAGCTTCATCCCTACTGGCTAGCCTTCATAATGCTGGAAGGTGCTATACAAGCCACTAGAGGAAGAGGGCCATCACCAGTCATACCCAGCTATAAACCCTGTGAGCTCCTTGGGATACATGGTACCTGTGAGGTCTACACAATGAAGACTGGGGAGTGCAGGCAAGGAAAGGGGAGTTATTAGGACCACAAGGGGAACACAGTGATCATCTTAATAGAAAATTTCCCAAATGATATATACAGGTGGCCTAACAACACATGAAAAGATGATCACTATCAGTTTGGGTGGGTGTGTGTGTGTGAAAATCAAGACCACAGTGAAGACTGGCATGTAGTGGTAAAGTTCTCTTCTAATCCCACCCTAAATCCACAATGAAAAAAAAAATCCAACTCCTATGTTGCTAATGGTAGCATAAAATAGTGAAGCTATTTTGGAAATTTTTTTGGCAGTTCATGAAGAAGTTAAAGTGGTATCGCATATCTTAGAAATTCTATACTCAGGTATACTCAGAGGAAATTAAGATGTACATATACATGAAACCTTGAAAGTGATAGTGTGATCAAATGAGTGATGCTCACGAGATCCAAAAGGTAGAAAGAATATTAAGGTCTATTAATTTTTCTTCTTCCCCTCATCTGCAGCAACGGTGACTTAGACCCGTGGTCAGGTGGTGGAGTAAACAAAGACATTTCAGATACGCTGGTGGCCGTCTACATCCCCCAAGCGGCCCATCATTTAGATCTTCGAGCCAACACTGCCTTTGATCCTTCCGCCGTGCTGTCATCTCGCTTACTGGAAGTAAAATACATGAAGACATGGATCGAAGATTTCTACAGAAATGCCAAATGGCAGCCCTGAGAAACTTTTAAGGAATAATTTTTTATTTTCTTCTTTTATGTTCACTAAACTCACATACCCATTTACTTTGATTTTTTTTTTATATGTAATTACTTTCCCTCACTTGTCATTGTATTTGTTGGGCCAAGGTCGAGACAGAAGACCGTGACAGGGGTGGGCGCAGCCATCCCACCCAGGTGACTGCTCCGTCCTCACTGCCTTTGTGCCATCTCCAGGAAGAACGCCATCCTGGCAGCTCTGATGCCATCAGAACTGGCATGGTTCCTGACTGTCTTTCACCAGGAGAGCCACTTTTCTCCCAAGCGGGGATGTCTCCTTGGTTTTGAGAGTGAAGTTTCTCTGGCCCATTGTAAGCCCCCATTCCTGCCACAAAAGGAAAAGCAGAAGCTGGATTATAAACGCTGCAGCTGCGGCTGGTGGGCTGTGTGATGCCAGTCCAGGAAAGGGCCGCTTCCTGTGAGCTCCATGACTGCCTTTGAACTGCAATAAAGAACAAGGCAGACCTACCTGTGTGTTGCTCCCATCTCGTCCAGCTGTTGGGAAGGCAGTGTGCCTGGGCTGGCTGCTTTCGGGAAGTCCTTTCTTTTTCTCTTTCCCCCTTGGCAGCCTTCCTTAGTTCTGGGATATCTGCCACCGTGCTGCAGCCAGGAGAAATCTGGCCTTCTCCTGCTCGGTTTCTCTTTGTTTCTAAGGTCAGTTTTGTGGTGATCTGGCTAAATTCTGCCAGTTTAGGAACTGTGCTGCTTTTTACTTTAAAACTGAACAAATTCTGTTAATAAAAAAATCCTCTAAAAATTGACAAATAAGCTATTGAGAAAGTAGAATGTACTTCTGTTTATTTTGTAAAGGAATTTTATGTTCTAGTTACTGTTATTGGTATCTTTAGAGCCCTAAGAGGCAGGACACCAAGCAGCAGGTGCGGGGTGGGGGTGGGGGTGGGGACTTTCCTGTATGGCTTCCAGACGACAAGCAGAGTAATTCATGCAGGCGGCATATTTGACATTAATAAATGATGGGCGGACCCTTCCCATTTCCAACGGGTTGGAACTTTCAAGCGGTTCTCACACTGAGACTTTTCTTCCAAAGGGATCTTCGAGAATAGGAAATACAGTTGAATCCACACATTTCAGGGACACAGAGAAACTGTTTCTTCTATGCAGAAAGATCCCTTCCACCTAATTTCTTATTTTCTCAGTCGTGTTTTGAGCACATGTTTGGAAACATTTCTTGCTTTTTAAAAACTATTCCCATACTTTCAACAAGGTTTTATTATTTTATTATTCCTTTTTTTATTTTTGAGATTATAATACAATTACAACATTTCTCCTTTTCCTTTCCCCCCCTCCAAACCCTCCCATATCCCCCTCCTTGCTCTCTTTTAAAATCATGGCCTCTTTTAAAAAAATTAATTATTATATACATATATATACATATATGTATATTCCCAAATGCAACCTGGACAATCTGTATAGTGTTACTTATATGAATGTTTTCGGGGCTGACCATTTGGTATAGAGTAACCAACAGATGCGTTTTTCCCTGGGGAAGACTATTTCTCCATCTCTCAGCTTTCTTTACTTGTCTGTAGTTTTTTGCATCGGATGAGGCCTTGTGGGATTTTCCCATCCACTTTGGTGTCCTCCTTGTTCAACTCATGGTTATGCTCAGACAAGGTTTAATGGAGAACATTATTTCTTTTATTTTAGGATTTTAGGCTTTTTCCCACAAAATCTTTTTACTAACTTGGAAGCTTTAAGATACTTTGACACTTAATGTTATAGCTGTTAGGAGACGTTAAAGTAGCAATTTCTGAAGAAATAAATTGCAAAACATTTTATGCAAGTACAATTTGGTTCTACTTCTGTACACTTTGTATATATAACAACAGCTTCGACCTATATTAAACTCCCTTATATTTTCGTAAGTTGAATTTTGAAAAAATTGAAAGAGAATCAGAATATAAAATAAACCCTATTAAATCTTAATCCTAGGTGTGACAGATCCACCTGTAACCCCCGGTACTCAAGAAGCTCAGGCAGGAAGTTAGCTTTTGCCCAGGAGTTCAAAACCACAATAGACAACAAAATGAGACCCCTCTGTAGAAGCAAACAAACCAAAATTAATAATGTGACTACTTTAACACATAGGAAACAGGAATCGCACAGAGTTGGGTTGGAGTGACTTTTTTAATCTTTTGTTACCTGAATTACCTAGATTCAGTTGGAATAAATACATTTAGAGAACTTCTTTAGGGTGTCTATAGAGCCAAGAGATTATAACCCTGGCCACAGAGCTAGTAAGTAGCAGTTGTATAATTCCATGTTGAACAGTTTTACTTTTCCTTGTTTCCAAATTCGAGTTTCCTGCAGCAGAAAGGCACCGCCCCCATTTCCACCCACTCCTTACCCTTCCACCTCAGCCTCTGTAATACTTTCTGCTCTTGTTGATGGACCCTCACACTCAGTCAGCCTTCCCAGCTCTGATTGCCCAGGGACTGGCTATGTAGCCAATGGCCATTTGCAAAGTCATTTCTACCTTGCTCTCTCTTCTCTCCTCTCTCTCCTCTCTCCTCCTTCTCCCCTTTCCCTCTCTCTGAATGAGGGAAACGTGAGAATACAATTTTTTTTTTTTTTGTCTTGGTGCTTGGTAAAATATGCACCCTCTCTGGGTGGTTTAAGCGGTTTAGGTACTTCTATAAAAGGAATCTTTTAATGCTAAAATTAATGTGATTATCTAAGTGTGAGAGGCCTATTCAAGGCTTAAAGAAAATCTGTTAGAATAGCTGAATGTATCTGCTTAATCCCCTCTCTCATGTGGCTGAACAATGCTCTGGGAAGCTATTGGCCCTTCTTTCTTCTAGTAAATGGCTGTCTCCAGAGGAAGGGGCTGTTTGCGGCTTTTGATAGCCTTATGTTTCACCTCCTCAGCTGCACAAAAACACAGGGCAAGCCTGGAGATGCCCAAAGCACCCACCGGCAGATACCTGTCTCTTCTGAGGACCACAAGCAGAGCACGTGGTACAGGGTGGGCTTTTCCTGGGCTTCCCTGGAAGTGAGGACTGTGGTTACCATGACGAATGGCATCTTGGAGAGCACTCTTCTCAGTAGGGGGTGACAGAGCATTTGCGGACATTTAAACTCTCACACCTGAGTTGGAAGACTTAGCTGCTTACTCCCTGTTAGGGCAGGTGAGGAAGGGGAGCATGAGAAGGGAAAAAGTGAGAGAGATGTGAACTTGTCAAGTTGCTCCATGAGTCGGTCACCGTTAAACATCGGCTCTCTCATTCACAAGCTAGATATAAAACCTGTCACAGGAGATACTTTTGAGAATTAAAATGGGGAATAAACATGAAAGCATAATGGTTCATCTATGGCATTCATATGTGACATGTGTGCTTTGGTTTTCATTTTCTTTCATTTAAAATTTCAAATTCTTCTTCTAGAAATATACCTCCTTTCTAGATGTGTAATTTAATACAACATTTTTTTTTTTGGAGTACATTTACGCTGAGCAAAATGCACAGATCTGGGAAACAGACTTGAATACCTGAAATTTAACAGGGTTACAGTCTGGTAAGGAGGACGTAAGGAGGTATAAAATACATCTTGAAAAATGCATATTGCAAGTGATTGGTATACTTTGGGTCATTACCAATAATAGCCAAGCGTTAGAATAGTGCTTATTGTTTCCCTGGAGTGGTGGAACAGGATGCTTTGCTTGAGTTTCCTCACTCAGTCTGCAGCCATGGCAGGTAGGAACTCTTTTCGTCCCATTTCACAGATGCTGCTGCTCAAGCACAGTCACTTTCTCCCAGGGTCATAGCTGGTAAGAGTTGGATCAAGATATTCAGTCCCTGTGACCTTAGTCTAATTTGCCCATCGTGCATCCCAAGTTAAGAAAGAATTCTTAGAGGAGGTGACCACAGGTAGGTTCCAGGGTAGCCTGGGAAGTGCACTGAGCACTCAGGAGGAAAGGCATTCCAGGAAGGAACAGCAAAATTAAATCGCATTGTCAGAGAAGCGCTTGTGTGGGGAGTGGTGTGGAACAGTTTCAGATCAGCTGCATGGACATCTGGGGTGAGGTTGTGATGCTTAATAGCACTGTCAACTTGATTGGATTTAGACACATCATGGAAACACAACTCTGGGTATGTCCATGAAAGGTATTTCCAGAAAGCTTTAACTGAAGAGGCAAGGCACATTCTGAATGTGGGTGCCACCATTCCATGGGCCTGGGGTCCTGGAGCTGAATAAAAAGCAAAATGTCAGCTGAGCATAAATACTTGTCTCTCAGCTTTCTGCCTGTGTAGGCAATGTGATCAGTGGCCTTACCTCTGCTGCCCTGACTCCCCCACCATGATAGGCTGTACCCTCAAACTGAGCCAAAGCAAACCTACCCTTTCTCCCCACTTCATCCCTTCCTCCCCCTTCATCCCTCCCTCCCTCCTTTCCTTTGTTGCTTTTGTAGGTTGTCTTTATAGTGATGAAAAAAGCATGCACAAGTTATAATCTCCCTCACTGACCTTTGTGGAAGAAGTCAATAAAGTGTTGAATTAATAATCTGATTAACAGCTTATTTTTAATAATGTGACTGGCAAGGTTGGAATGGTTGCCACCTTTATGGTGCAGAATCACAGAATACGCTCTTAATTGTAGATTCTAACCCTTTGAGGATGGGTCCTTTTAGGATATAACAGGCACAAATTTTCAAGAGGAAATCAGGCTGAGCACTTGTGAATGTCACTATCAAAATTATAAAGCAGTGTAACTAGACAACAACTCAGGAATACTTGTGCATTTTAGATGAATGATAGAGTTTACGTGAACAATAAATGAGAATGACAGAATCGTCTTGAGATGCATTTAGAGAAAGTGGCGAGTTGAAAGGGGGAGAAATGTAACTAGTAATTCCAGGAAATGGGAATAGAGTCCTTTGCTCAGGCTCCAGGAACTGTCAGACATGGCAGGTTTCTTCAGTGGGGTTGGGTATTGTGTGTTCCAGTTGAGGCAAACCGGAAGGCAGGCTTGCCTAGGAGGTAGAACTCGGAGATGTCTCTCCTTGTCTATTCCTTAGTTCCCATTGGCTACATAAGGAAGGCCCAGAAGGCTGGGGCTGGTTCTTGTTTTCATCAGGCTGACAATGGGAAGGGCAGGGCAGGCAGGAGGAGAGGCAACTGGAGCAGAGTGGGATTAACCAGGCAATGTGGGATGGATTCTGTGGTTGACTAGGAGGGATGAGAACCTTCTGAACTGTTTCCCTGGCCACACTTCTGGACAGTGAAATCCAGTTGTCATATCATACCAAAGATAGGTATTTTACATTGCTCCATTGACTTCTTCTGGGGAGGTCTCAAAATATTTCAGTCAGTTCTTAGGTAGGTCAGGGAAGAAGTTTTTGACACAAATTGGTCAAACTCTGGGGCTCAGATTCTGTTTCTTTTATTTTTCATTTTTTATTTTTTTATTTCACCCAAGCTACTCATCATCCATTGGAGACTCTCCACGGGGCTCATATGATGGCTGTGCCAAGAGCTAGAGATGGAAGATGCTCTGTTTTCCCAATGTGGCTTTTCTCAGAGGGCCCTGGCAGGGGCTTTCACATTCTTTCAGAAGCCTGAGAACTTAGTTTGCTCTCCTCTGCTCCCACCATTCCCCGCTGCTTGCTGCCAGTATTAATAACACACAGGAGGCTTCACATCAGCATGGGGGCTGTGAGGATAATTATGGAGTGGTCTAGGACCAACCAGTAAATTACTCCATGACCTGGGAATTCAGCAGGTTACCAGCTTCCCTCAGGCCTGCTCACT